AGTGAGGAGGTAGCAATGGCAGTGAGCCCTGCACACCGCATAGCCATAGTCACTGCACACACGGAGCACGTGAGGGACGTGAAATGTACTAATCATCTCTTACCTTACCTAGCCATCAGGCTGCGCTAAACCTCACGTTCCAAGAGGACTGTGGAGTGGGCCAATAATCAGCAATGTTTATAAATTTAAATATATTTTCCTTTTATTTCTCTTGCCTATTCTGGCTGAGAAGCAATAGGGAGAGAAAGGCCAAAGGGTTAGTGGGGCCAGGGGGAGCAGTAAATATCTTTGAATTTTACACAGTTACTTCATAGGTCTATTTATATGATGTGGAATGCACTGGCATTATACAGGGAAACATGGCCTTTCGTGTTTCTGTTATTGTGGTAAAAAAATGCATGACATAAAATTCACCACCCCCAGCTTTAGCCAGTCCTGAATCATGGGCATGAGTATGCCTGGTGTCCTCAGGGAAGCCTCCAGATGAGAACCCAGAATCTTCTCATGTGGGCCAGCCTCGCAGAGCATCACATTTTCCCATTTTGCCACCATTCAGTCCTTTATTTTAACCCTTTTTGAGTGAATGATTCAGTGGCGTTAAGTAAGGCATGATGATGTGCAACCAGGACTACCAGGTACTTCCAGAACTTTCTCATCATCCCAAGCCAAAGCTCTGTACCCATAGAACAGTAACTCCTTACTTACCGTCCCCTCTGTCCCTGTACTATGTTCCCTTCTGTCTCTGAATTTGCCTGTTCCAGATGCTGCATATAAACAGACTCACACGATTTCTGTCTTTTTTGGTATCTGGCTTATTTTGATTAGCATAATGTCTTCACTGTTCAACACTGCTTTGTTTTTTAAAAAATTTTTATTTAATTTAATGATTTCTATTTTTAATTTGCTATAGGGCACATGTGCTTACCAGAGAGAGAGAGAGAGAAAGAGGAAAAATGAGGAAGCAAGCTCCCCAGGTCCTAGGCTTGAACCATGTTTGGCCATGTGGGAGTCCAGTACCTTAACCACCATGCTGGCTGCTTGCTTTTAAACTTCAAATACTTCATTTGCGAGTCATTATAGAGAGACTAACTTAATGGTATCCTGTGATATAATTTAATATATCTTGAACTCAAAACCTCCATTTTTTGCCTTATAAAACAGCTGGTAGTAGGGTTCTAATTATGCTTTTTAAAGTCAGTTATTGGCTTTGTAAAATATGAATATGGAAGAAAAGAACAGTAAGAATCTTCGCAGAGTGATTCGTCTCAGCTGAGTATGACTCGCGATTCAGTAATAAAATGAAATCTGCCCCTTGTACCTAGACTGAAAAAAAATCAACAATAAGATGTTCTGTTCGTTGCTTCTTCCTGTGAGCACAGAAAGATGGGACCGTGAGTGATGCCAACTCGTTAGAAGATAATGAAATGCAACTGGTGCCCAGCCGACCCAGCAGAAATACCCCCAGGCACAAGAAAAATATGCCTGGATGGTAGTCTCCATTTTTCACACCAAAAAAGCTAACCGCCTCTCCATTTGTGCCCAGGATGTTGCATTTTCTAGACGGAGGCTCAAGCCATGATTGTTCATGCTTAGAGAGCTGATACACACGACCCAGCCAATCAGAGCTTCTTTCATCCCTGCTCGCCACTCGCTCACCCAGTGTCTTCAATACGGAATGAGGTGGAGGGAATGAATGAACCCAGAGAACAGCAGAACGGGAAAATAAGACCAAATATGATCACCTAGTGACCCCCAACCTGCTTCATCTCAGCTGCTCTCCAACTACATTCAGTAGCTCCCAGCTTTACAGCAAAAAGGACAAGGAGAAAGTAATTTTTTTTTTTTTTAGGATAAACTTCTTACGAGCCCCTCATGTCATCAAATGAAAGCCTTAAATTGTGTGATGTTTCAAACACAAACACTTGCAAATACACACGCAAGCCCAAAATGAGATACAGTGAAGAGAATAAATTAGCACCAGCTGCAGCCCAATTAAGCAAAGATTTTCACAAGGGAAAGCTTACTTATAATTTACCTAAACGAACCCTCTTCTTTTTGTTGCAATTTGTTGCTTGTTAATTTTTCTCACTAAAATGACTACAAAGAATAACCAAGAGCATAGTTATCACATTGGGGAAAAAACCTAGTTCTTCTAGTCAAAAGAACCCTTTGAAAGGGTATTTTTAGTCAAATATTTGTGTTTGTAACATTTAAAAAATATTTTAAAATTAAAAAAAAAATCAAGTCATGCATGCACATAGTTAAGTGTCAAAGCTTATGGTGAAAAGCAGTAATTTCCAAGTGTGATATTGCCATTATGCAACGTATACATTATTTCAAAACAACATGTAGTACACAATGACTATATACAAATTTTCTTTGCCAATTAAGAAATAAAAATAATCCCAGTAATTTCTGGCTCTATTCCTCCTAGCCTGCTCAGAAGTCATACCTTTGAAAATGTTTAATGATTTCTTCTGGTATTTCTTTCTATATTTCTAGATAATATGCTTCTACTAATTATTTCTTGATTTAGGCATTTTTACTTCCTCTGTTGATTTCCTATTTGATAAGATTTTTGTCGTCTTTGCTGTAAGTCCTACCACTGCCAACCCCCCCTCCTTCCCCAAACTCCCAATAAAGTTATATCAAGGTGAGGAGGGAGGAGAGAGTGTAGAAAATGCAAGGTCTTGTTCCACTGCATAATGTGAAATACAAATATGTAGGCAAAGACTAAAATAAAATTTCGTCGTGCCCCTCATAAAGATGTTCTGGTCAACGGTGGACTGCCTGTACGACATGGTCCTATAAGGAACATACAGGACACATCATCTAGGTTTGCATAAATACACTCCACGATGTTTGCACAGTGATGGAATTGCCTAAGGATGCGTTCCTCGGAATGTATTCCCATCATGAAGCGAGGCATGACTGTAATAGCAAGCTTCTACACAGTGCATGCTTTGTGCCAGCATGGTACTAAGTGCTACACACGTAGTAACTCATTCAGCCCTCACAGCCATCCTGTCAAATAGGTCCCAGGATTGTCCCCATTTTACAGGTGGGAAAGCTAAGGTACAGAGAGTTTAATTAGGAGATGTTACAGGTCATCCATATCCTCTACATTAGACCTAAGATAATACGAGGGGTCTTCAAAATGTCCATGGTGGAGCCGGCAGATGACGTGGTGGTTGAGTTGCTGGACTCTCACATGGCCAACCGTGGTTCGAGTTCCGCACCTGGTGACTTGCTTTCTCACTTTCCCTTTCTCTCTCTGGTGAAATTTGAAAAATAAATAAATAAACAATAATTCTTAGAAAAAAAGTTCATGGAAAATACATATTATGAATAAAAACCCTGCATTGATTTCAACTTTAATTCTGTTTTCCATGAACTGGTTTTTTTTTTTTTTGGAGAGTTTTTTATGCTATAGGGCACATATGCTCACCAAAAAGACAGAGAGAGACAGAGAGAAAGCAAGAAGTCACCCCCCAGGGTGGATGACCATGCTGCAATCCCTTCTCCTCTGTTCTCTCTCGGGATCTTGGGCAAGCACTCACACATGCCCCGTGTGAGTTTAAGCCACTGGGTCCAGGACTTGGTGGTAGACTATGTGGGAATCCAGTGATGTAACCACTATGCCATCTGCTGGTGCCTCCATGAACTTTTTAAAGTCCGCTTATAGAGGGAATCGCTCTGAAAACGCAGAAACAACAGGCACTCTCAAAGCAAGGGCATGACGATGTGGACAGTGGCAATGAAGACATCTAGTCAGTACACACAGACACATGGGTGCATCTAGGAACCAGAGCAAGAAGGCTGTGTAAAAATTGGCATGAAGTTTGTGTAGGCATGGTGCTTATGCAATTTGGAGTCCCTCTTTAAGAAAATGAGTTCAAACTTAGGTACCAAGATGGATATTTATTTAGAGTCAGAAAAGAAATCACGACAAATTAAAAATCTAAAATTGTGATGAATACCACACCATTACAACACATAGAGAAAAGCAACGTAATACATTAGTTAACAGTCTGATATACTTTTCAAATTATTTTTTTCCTATTGTATTGGTTGCATACTCTTTTGATTGCCTCACCCATCTCAACAGTTTTGAATATCATTTGCTAAAGAGAGCCCAAAGACAAATTCGTTCTCTCCTCTAGTACCAAAGATTAAAATGTTTAATTAATTTGTTTATTTACTTATTTATTTTAATTGCCATAGGATGCATGCACTCACCAGAGAGAGAGAGAGAGAGAGAGAGAGAGAGAGAGCAATCACCTCCCAATGCAGAGTAGTTGCACCCAATCCTTTCTCTGCCATTTCTCTACTCTGTTGGGATTCTGGCTGTGCACACAACATGTACCTGGCATGTTTTCAAACCTCCAGGGCTAAGATTTGAACTAAAGTCAGCCATGTGGGATCTGGCTGCCTTTACCACTAGGCTACAGGGACAACCCCCCCCCCCCAATATATTTTAATATTTATAGTCTAGCACTCTATGTCAGTTCTGCAATTCATTATTGGAAATATCATGTGAACTTTAGGATGGTTGTCCAATTTGGAAAAGTCTCAGGTAAGTAGGTCTTTTATAATGAGTTGATGACTTCAGGACATCTCCAATTTCATTGTGCTGTGACCACCCTTCTAGTCATTTTGAGTTAATGACATTTATAAACCAAAGTTTGGGAAGGAACCCAATGTGTGGAACCCTGCAGCCTGCTACCTCTAGGGGCATAGTCCCTCACCTTCCCACCACCCACTCCAGGCCTCCAGCTCCTGACATCTAATGCCTAATTAGGCCTCTTCTGCCCTCACCTTGTGTTTCTGATGTTGCAGCCGAGCCTCTGGAGACAGAGTGTGCTGTCCTCCAGAAAGCTGGCACCCTGCTCCCAAGAGCAATGAGTCAAGTGCCGCAATGCGATAGCTTTGTGATCCAACAGCACTGGAGGAGCAGGAGGCTAAGGGTGCCCTTGGAGTTAAGCCGTGACTTTTTCCAGGAAGGCAGCCTGAGCTTGACAGGCCAGGACTGAGCTGACTATGCTAATGGAGGACTTGCTAGACTGTACATGAACTGAAAGGCAACTGTGCACTTCATCATTCACATCAAGCACCTGAGATATTCCACTGAGGTAAGACATCAGTCTTCATTTGAAGAGCTTTCATTACAAGCCATGAAAGGAGCTCTGTGGGGCTGAGAGGGAGCCCTAGAGTAGTCAGGGGATCTGGGTTTCACTGCCATGAGCTGCAGCCAGCAAGTCATCTTACTCCCAGTCTGTCATGCCTCACTAGAACACAGTCGCTTTTAGGACCCTGGGCTAGCCAGACAAGAGTCTGAATATTCCACCAACCCAAACAGCCAATCAGTCCAGCGGGACACAGTGCTTGCTATTCTTTCTAGGTTTATCTCAGAGCAGCCAAGGTCACGCACCAACTTGGGAATTTAAAAGGAAATCCAAGAGAGGGCACCATAAGCCATTCTATAAGAGCAAATTATTTCCTACTGGCCAGCAGTTTTAGAAGTTGTACTAATTCACAGAATAGAATGGTGCATGGAAAGTTGAAAAGAAAAGGGGCCTGGAAGAATCTGTAAATGTATTCTTCTAGCTTGAGGTTTGTAGAGTGTCTTTTCAGTAATGGAAATGTCCTAAAGAGAGCATCTAAATCTTTTTCTCTTTCTTTATAACACTAATGGATAATATAGAAAAACTTGCCATTTTTTAAAAAACTGTGTTCATGTAATCATCTTAAAACAACGGTGAGCTTTTCTAGCTAAAATATTAGGAAATAGGCCCCTAGGCTACTGCTCCTATGATCCGTGGGAAAAAAAATGTTTTAATGATGCACAGTGGGATGGCATAGTAAGCTACAATACCCACCCCTGGCATAGGAATAAAACTTCGCTTCTCAGAATTTTGTCATTGAGGGACCAGCAGATGGTGTAGCAGTTACATGACTGGACTCTCACATAGCCAACCACAGTTCGAGTCCTGGATCCAGTGGCTTGAAAATCACGCTGGGTGTGGGTGTGTGTGTGTGTGTGCCCAAGATCACGGTAGGAAAACAGAGGAGAAGGGATCGCTGCATGGCCATCCCCCTATGGGGTGATTTCTCACTTTCTCTCTCACTGTGCATGGGTCTCTCTTTTTCTCTCTAGTGAGCACACATGCCCTAAGGCAAAAATATCTTTTTTTTTTCTTTTGAGAGGTTTTTGCTATAGGGCACGTGCGCTCGCCAGACAGAGACAGAGAGACAGAAAGCGAGAAATCATGCCCCAGGGGGGATGGCCATGTCGCAATCCCTTCTCCTCCGTTCTCCTCTCAGGATCCTGGGCATGCACGCACACGCGCCTGGCCTGAGTTTTAAGCCACCAGGTCCGGGACGCGAACTGCCATCGACTACATGGGAATCCAGCAACATAGCCATTACGCTAACTGCTGGTCCTGAGGCAAAAAATCTTAAAAACAATAATTTTCTCTGGTGTGCAGATCTGTTTTGAGGAACTCTTTGGTTTTCAAGAACAGCATCGTGATCTCTCTTGTGTCAGCAGCACTTAGAGACGAGTGTGCAGGCCCAGCCATTGTACAACACTCTGCAATGCTGGAGGCCATGAGGTAGATCAGAGTTCTGTTCCTGGGCCAACCTATAAATGCCAGGTGCATGAACTCGCCCACGATCCTGACTGGCTGGGAAAGGCTTAGCAGAAGTTGTGGCATGAAATCCTGTTTATGGTGCTTGTCTGTTTCTCTTTTTCTCATGAAAGAAAGAAAAAAAACTTAAAAAACAAAAACAGAACAAGCATGCAGCACTATTTTCTGGTTAATTTTTTTCTTATTTAAAAAATGATTACTGTTATCTCTGATAATAAACATAACACATGACCATAATAAAAATTATGAAGTGTGTGCTACACAATAGTGAAAGTCGTTGTAACCCCAGAGATAAACACTTTGTTTAACTAGATATTTTTTCAGTGCATGCTGTCATATTGGGTTGTTGGAAAAGTCATGACACATGTTTTCTGTACGAAAATGCAGTAGGTCTTTCTTATATAAATTGAAATAAGCACATACATAATGCTGTTTTTAACTCTGCCTTATTTTTTTCTTTAGCTTGCATCTCAGTAATGGCCATCTATCCCTGCCAATATGCTCAGAGTTGCTTCTCTCTTTTTAAACCACCACAGTATCCCATTGTATGGAGCACCATGATTGTTTATATGCTGTTGATATGCATATGGGTTGTTTCCAGCGTTCCTGAATAGCAACAGAAATAAATAAAATTCTTATATACTAATTCGTGTGCACATCTACAAGTGCTGCTGCAAGATATATCCCTAGAAAGGGAATTGCTGGGCCAGGGACTATGCATATCTTTTTACGGTTTGTTTTTAATTTTGATCTTAATTTATGAACTGCAGTAACTTCTCTGAGTCCTACCTATGAAACATAGATAATAGATAATACAGCCACACGTTTGCCAACACTCGTACCCACTACCAATTTATTTATTTATTTATTTATTTATTTCTTTTTGAGAGGTTTTTGCTATAGGGCACATGTGCTCACCAGACAGACAGAGAGCGACAGAGAGACAGAAAGCGAGAAATCCCCTGCCACAGGGATGGCCACGCCACAGTCCCTTCTCCTCCATTCTCCTCTCGGGATCTTGGGCACGCACGCACACTCACCCGGCATGAGTTTAAGCTACTGGGTGGGGGACTCGAACTGTGGTTGACTAAATGGAAGTCCAGTGACATAGCCATTATGCCAACTGCTGGTTTCCCCCCTTTAAAACAAAAAATTATGAGTGTTCACTAGAAAGATACAGAGAGAGAGAGAAAGCACCCCAGTGGGGCATGTTCATGCTACAATCTCTTCACTTCCATTTCTTTACCCTGTTGGGATTGGGGGCACAAATACACATGTGTTCAGAGTGTTCTTCAAGTTTCTGGGCCTAGGATTCAAACCACACAGTTTGGCCATGTGGGATCCAGTTTCCCTGAACCACCAGGCTGAAGGGCCAACTCCCCATTAAGTTTTACCAATCTGATATACAAAGAAAGATGTGTTATTTAATTTTCTCACATATGAATTTATTGCTACATAGAACATGAAGACATAATATAAAGGTTCACTAATAATAAGTCACTAGATACAAACTTGTAAATAAGTAAAGCAGTAATGGGAGCCAGACTGTGGTCCAGCAATAAAGTGTGATGTTCTTTGAGGTTGATTCACCTGGGAAGGTTCTGGTTCGCATCCAGAGACCTCTCTGAATACACTGGGTACGTGTGCCCATAGTCCAGGGCTATCTGAGAGGAAGGGTGGACCATGGTGTCAAGACCCTATTGGGAGTGTTTGTCTTTCTCTTTCCGTCTCTCTTGCTCATGAAAGAAATAAATAGATAAACTTAAAAAAAAAAAAAAAAGAAGCAGTAATGAAAAAAATTCAATTTAGTACATTTTTTAAGATTTATTTAATTTTACTTATTATTATGATTATTTTTTTATTTTTAATTTGCCCAGAGAGAGAGAAAGGGAAAGTGAGAACACAAGCCACTAGGACCAGGACTTGAACTGTGGTCAGGTGTGTGGGAGTCCAGTGCCTTACCAGCATGCCACCTGCCAGCCCCAATTCAGTACTTTCTTAAGCCTTCTCTAAGTTCAGACATCTAAATTAGTTATCAAATAACAGTGTGGATGACCTAGGGGGCAATTTTGGACTGGAAGCAGCAAGAGCTCCCTTTAGTTTCTTTGGCTTTGAAGGTTCCAGAATTAATGGTGTGTTCTGACTCCTACCACAGTCCTGAGTTTTGGCCTCCTTTCACTTCCCCAGGCCCAGATCCTAAAATGTTTGCATCCCTCAGTTCCTCTCCCCCATCACCTGGTCTTGTAAGGAAGACATCTTTCTTTTGTTTGGTCCACATCCTGGGTGTAAAGAAATGTGGAGCTCTGCCTGCACTATTTCCCACGAGCCTACACATCTGGAATAAAAATGGAAATCCACATGGAGCGGAGGCGGGGCAGAGTGGTTCATAGCACGAAGTAACACAAGCATGAAGGGAAAATATATTTATGATTTCTTCCTACAAATTCAAATAGAACCTAAATTCAATGTCTGTTCTTTCAATCAGTGATAAACATAGTCTTTAAAATGCCATTGACTAGAAGGGCAAACAGTCTCCTCTCCATGGGGCCAGAGATGCCTGGGCCTGCATGGCAGTAATTTTTGTCTTGGACATGGCATCCCCTTTGAAAGGGATGTCTTTTCTTTTCTTTTCTTTTCTTTTCTTTTCTTTTCTTTTCTTTTCTTTTCTTTTCTTTTCTTTTCTTTTCTTTTCTTTTCTTTTCTTTTCTTTTCTTTTCTTTTCTTTTCTTTTCTTTTCTTTTCTTTTCTTTTCTTTTCTTTTCTTTTCTTTTTTCTTTTTCTTTCTTTCTTTTTGTCTTTATCAGTTTTTTTCCTTATTTTGGAGAGGTTTTTGCTATAGGGCGGGTGCAATCACCAGAAAGAGAGAGACAGAAAGTAAGAAGTCACCCCCAAGGGGGGATGGCCACATCGCAATCCCTTCTCCTCCATTCTCCTCTCGGTATCTTGGGCACGCATGCACACACGCCCGGCGTGAGTTTTAAGCCACCGGGTCCGGGACACGAACCGCAGTCGACCATGTGGGAGTCCAGCGACATAGCCATTACGCTAACTGCTGGTCCCTCTTTTTTTTTTTTTTTTTCAGTGTTGTTTCTTAGTTGAAAAAGAAATGTATGGGGAACCAGCAGTTAGCGTAATGGCTATGTCGCTGGACTCCCACATGGTCGACTGCGGTTCGTGTCCCGGACCCGGTGGCTTAAAACTCACGCCGGGCGTGTGTGCATGCGTGCCCAAGATACCGAGAGGAGAATGGAGGAGAAGGGATTGCGGCATGACCATCCCCCCTGGGGGGTGATTTCTCGCTTTCTGTCTCTATGTCTCTCTCTGTCTGTCTGGCGAGCGCACGCGCCCTACAGTGAAAATCTCTCCAAAAAAAAAAAAAAAAGAAATGCATGAACAAGATTTAAAAAAAATTTAAACAGCATTTGTAGACCTAATGAAAAAAGTTTTCTCTCAGTCCAGATCTCCAGTCTTGCTATTCCTGTAATAATCCTTCCAGTAATTTTCTATGTACGCACATACGTCAATGTTTTTACATGAATGAAAGCATACCATGCACACGCTTGTGTTCCTCGTTTCTTTTCATTGAATGTATTGTATACATTATTCAACTTTCTACATATACTTGTACCTCATTCTTCTTAGCAGTGCCACAGTGTTTCACAGTGGGCTTGCCACAGTTTCTCTCTGCCGAAGAGGACTCAGGCTGCATCTATTGTTCGAGTATGACACATGTACACAGCTCTTTGTACACATATGTTAGTCTATGTGCAGGATCCGCTACTGACATGTGATTGCTGCACTATAGGATTCTTGCATTTTTAATTTGGCCAATATTGCAGTTTCTTTAAACATCATTTATATCAATTCGCACTCTCATCAGTGTATAAAGGATTCTTCCTTACTCTACTGATTTTAAAAAGCCCCTTAAAAATTAGCAATCCTGGGACCAGCAGGAGGCATAATGGTTACATCACTGGACTCTCATGTAGTCAACTGCAGTTTGAGTCCTCGACCAGGTGGCTTAAAATTCACGCCGGGCACATGTGCATGTGTGTCTGCCCAAAATCCCAAGAGGACAATGGAGGAGAAAGGATTGCGGCATGGCCATCTCCCCTGGGGTGCGATTTCTCACTTTCTGTCTCTCTCTCTCTCTCCAGTGAGTGCATGTGCCCTATAGCAAAAAATCTCTCTTAAAAGAAAATGAGCGGTTCTGGGCTTACATGGCAGCACAGTGGTAATGCTACACTCTGTGAGGCTGACCCATATAGGAAGGGTCGGAGTTCACATCTAGAGACCTCTGTAAACACCCCTGAGTATGCCCATGGTCTGGAGCTGGCTGACAGTGGAGATGTATTGTGGCATTAGAATCCTGTATATCTCCATATCTGTCTCTCTCTTTCTCTCATTCACAGGAGAAAAAATAGACAAAAAAAAAAAAGAAAAAGAAAAAGAAAAAACCCTGGTCCAGTCAAGGTGGCACAAGTGGTAGGACACTGCTATGCAAAGCTGGGGCTACCTGGGAGGTTCAGGTTCAGTGCCCAGGCCAGTCTAAACAGGCTAGGGATGATGATTGTCTATAATCCTAGCTAACTAGGAGGCTAAGGGAAGAGGATCCCTGCAAGGTATGACCTGTTAAAAATACCTCTCTCTATCTTTCTATCTCTCTCTTATATTAAAGAAAAAAACAAAAGAAAGAAAGAAAAAGCAATCCCACAACTACTGTGGACCAATAATTGTCACAGCATTCCTGGGTAAACATTGCTGGGAGATGTCTTAGTCTGCATGGATGGCTACAAGAAAATCTCATAGACTGGATGGCTTAAATAACAGATACTAATGTTCTCACAGTTCTGGAGAATGGGTAGTCCAAGATCAAGGTTCCAGTAAGGTAGGTTTTATTATGAGGACACTTCTCTTGACTTGCAGGCAACTAGAATATCGCCAGGTACTCATGTGACCTCTTCTTGCACACCTAAGAAGTCAAATGAACTTTCTTGTGCCTTTTAAAGATACCAGGCACAAGAGCCCCACCCTGTGAACTCATTTAACCTTAGGCTTTTGAAAAAGCCCTATCTCCAGTTATAGTCACCTTGGGGATTAAGGCTTCAAGTATTACTTTAGGGAGTGGAGAACACTGGTCTGTTGTAGAGATGCACTGGAGACTTTCAATCAAAAGAGATATGCAGAAAACACAGAACAGAATATTCAGGAGAATTTACAGGTCATTGGAGCTGTTTCCCAGAACTCAGGTTTAGACAGTTTGCATTGTTCAGAATACATATTTTCTAGACCTATGCTTCTTTGCTTTAACAAAATGTTGGGTTTTACTTTTTTTGTTTTGGTGACAATGTATGTTGAGGCTTCTTGGTTTCAAGATAAATTCATGTGTTCAGGTTTGTGGTATCCCAACTGGGAAAGCTAAATTAGTTAATTGAAAAATGAAAAATAGGAAAATTAAACCAGCAAGTTCTCCAAACATATTGGGGCAATTTAAAACCCAGGTTAACATTGATTTATTGTTTTAATAAGATTCCTGCGTAAAGAAAA